AGGTGATTAGATCCTACATGGAACACATTATTACAGCTAATTAAAATCAAAGAAAATGAAGCATAAACCATATAATTTATCTTTGGGTCTGATACCTTGTATATTGCTTCAAAGTAAATCATAAAGTCACACTGTGATAACCTAAGATGGTAGGATATTTCCTTAGTGCTTTAAAAATGATTATCTTCATGATCTACTAATTTCAACCTGAGACTCTATCCTAAAAATATTTGATCAAAATACAGAAATTATTTATGCAGAAATTCCAATGTTATTTACAACTACAGAAAACTATGAAAAATAATCTATGATGAGAAAATATTTCTAATTGACTGTATTTTCAGTATTATGCAGCAATTAAATTGTACTTATTTAAGTGTTAGTATTATAAGACATTGCTTAAAACAGCAAACAGAAAAGTAAATGCTAGTTTGATCCTAAATATGATAAAAGTATAGAAATGGATAAAAGATAAAATGTTAATAGGAGTTAATCTTGATGGCATGATTGTTTTTAACAGTAAGCATGTATTAATTTTATAACAGGGAGAACAAAAAGGTTTCAATGGTATATTAGCCTTTTTCTCATCACTGGGACAAAGTACCTGACTCTCACAACTTCAAAGACTAGAGATTTATTTTGGCTCGTGTTTTAGAAATTTCAGTCCATGGTTAGCTGGCTCTGAGACAGAATGTCCTGATGGAAGAGTATAGTGGAGCAAAGCTGCTTAGTTCAAGGTTACCAGGAAGCAGAAGAGGGGAACAGTGCCCAGAGAGAAAGGGTCCAGAAATCCAGATATGGTACCCAAGGCCACGCTTCTATGACCCCACCCAAACAGAATGAGAAGTTGTTCCACCAATCCCCTGGATGGCTCCCAAGTCAATCAAGTTGCCACAATCCATCATACATAGTCTTATTAATTTATGCTATCTTCAGAAAATTCTTGTTATACTGCAAATTTTAAAAAGAAAACTACATAATCATATCTGTATACATTGTGTTTGTATGCAAAAAAACTACTGAAAGCCATATGAGAAACTCTAGAACAGAATTAAATTTTCTTTTCTTTTTTTTTTTGGTGGAACCGGGGATTGAATTCAGCCCTTGTGCTTGGCAGGGAAGCACTTAATCTACTGAGCCATCTCCCCAGCCCCTAGATTTTCTAAAGTTTTATAAATGCTATTACTTGTTTCTCTTTTTTAAATGTATTTAGTACAGTGTCTACAGGGTGTCACTACATAGATCAGATGTGTAGTGATCCTCCTGTTTTCAGCTTCCCAAGTGCTGGGATTACAGGCATGTGCCACCATGCCCAGTCTCAGTCATGTCTCAGCAGGCCTCGGAGGCAGGACCAGCACAGCATGCCAGGGATGGAACCCGGTCCCTGCGTCTGCCTAAGCAGGTGCTTTAATCTGCTGAGCTGTCTGGCTGGCCCTCATTATTTGTTTCTTGTATATTTTAAATACATTAACAACCACATCTTTCATCCTTATTTTTTCTCACACCAGTTTTGCAATTCAGAACTAAAGCTTTTAAAAGAGATGGAAACAGATCTAAAATAATTTGTCTAAAATATCATCTTTGAAATTACTATATATTAACTATGTATTGCTATGTATATTATATTTACTGTATATATGAAATTACCATTAAATTTTAAGCAGATAGAAATCTGTTAGCATAAATGGGACATTTGTGGAAGAGCAAAAGCAATTACAAAATTGTACACAGTATGATTTCATTTTCCAAAACTATAGAAATATCCATGTACTTGCATGTTTGGTAATGTAAGTCTTGTCTTAGTTACTTTCCTCATCGCTAAGACAAAATACCCAATATCCAAAGTTAAAGAGGAAAGGTTTATTTTGGTTTAGTTTGTAGGGACTTCAGTCTATAATCAGCTGGCTCCAGTGTAGGGTAGTTTGGCAGCGGGGTATCACAGAAGAGAATCAGTTCACAGAAGGCACAGGCAGCAAACAACAAAGTAGTAAAACAGACAGTGATGACAGTAGTCCTTTTTCATCCCTTATATGCTATCCAAGCTACATGCCTCAAGGGCAGGTAGCACTCAAACCCTGAGTGGGGCCTCCCATTATCCACACCCAGAATCACACCAAATCAGTCAGCACACTAATATAGTAATCACACACCCTTAAAGCCAGCATCACACACTCTTGATCCAGCCACCTCAAAACAGTCCCACCTATGACAGTATGAGGTTATGGGGGGACATCTAGACACAAGCCATAACAAGCAATGAGTTAATGGTTATTTCTGGGTAGCAATGGTTTCTATGATTTTGATTTTTCTTTTATACTCATATCTCTATTTCCCATTTTTTCTTTAATATACTTACATAATTTAAGTAGAAGAAAAATAACTACATGGCCTTTCAAACTCAAAAGCACTAGCAACTGCATTAGATATCCTCAGGTGACCTAAGTCTTTACCTTACACATTCATATAGTTAGTGCTAAAGAATTCAAGTACATGATTTATCTTAACACAATAACATAACCTTTCTCATGATCTTTCATTCAGCTGTGTTTTTACAGCTGTGGGTACAAGTTAGTCTTCACTAACAGCACTTTTCTAGGTTTCTGAATCAGCTTATTTAATCTTAAGCACAAAAAGGCAGAAAATGTCAAATCTAGTCTTCATGAATTAGCTGAGCTGGTTAACAAAAAATCAATGTAAAAAACAACTGGAGTATTTTTTTTTTACCTCGGTGTCATAGGTTGGGTTGTAGTCATTATATCCAGAATAAAGGTCATCTTCATCGGTCTCTGGAGCCAGGTGCACATTTTGCATCATTTGTACCTATGAAAAACCAGCAGAGTGAATATGTTCTTGGTGTAAGATTTTTTTTTTTTAGTATTGGGGGTTTAATCAAAGACCTTACACATGCTAAGCACAGTAACCAGAAATAATTCCTAATTCAAATGAAGTATAATTAACAATCTTTCTGGCCAAACTTAATGTGTTTTTAATGCTTGAAAAATTTTCAAATTCCCAAATTAAATGTCAAAATATTCACCAGTGCAATTATTTTATATTCATTCCACATTTTCTGTCACAGCCCAAGTGGTTCTTAAAGTTGTATGTGTGTGGGGGAGGTGAAAAGGTGGAGAAATAGGATACAGAAAGCTGAGGTCAGGTGGAGCCCTCTCTCCAGATGAAAGGACAGGAACTACTGAACCACCACAATGCATTTATTTATACATTTGTTGTAGGACACCCATTTGCTTAATTAGCTCACCTCTCCTGCCCTGTGTTCTCTGAGCTGGAAAACCTGTTAGCCTGGAGGGCTCTGGGCCCTCAGGGCAGGGCTTTGGCACTTTGAGCTCTGCGTTCCCCTGGAATGACCCAGTGGCTCAGCCACTGGACAATTTTCTGTATTGAAAGAATGCTGACATGCACAGGAAGATGGGTACAGTTGGTTACTCTGATTTTCATGGAGTTTAGTATTAAGTACAGAGGAAACATATGTAATAGTTAATTAAAATTCAAGACAAAAACGGTATACCCCCATCATAATGACTAAAATTAAAAAGATTAATAACATGACACCAGCAAGGATGCAAGGCAACTGGAATATGCATACACTGCTGGTGGGAGTGTAAAAGGGTACAATTTTGGAAAAAGATCTGGTAGTTTCATAACATTAACCTTTTATGACACAGCAGTTCTACTTCACAGTATTTAGCTGAGAGAAATAAAAATGTATGCTTACAAAAAGATGTATATACCAATGTTCATACTAGCTTTATTTATAATAGCCAAAAATTAGAAACAGACCAGGTGTCCATCAGTAGAAAGGCTGAGCAAAGTGTCATTTTCTTTTTTTTCTTTTTGTCTTTTTGAAACAGGGTATCAGTATGCAGTTCAGACCTTAACTCATTTGTGGCCTATGTTGGACTCTACCTTGCAGCACTCCTCCTGCCTCAGCTTGAGTGCTTAAATTACAGGCATATGCCACCACGCCTGGCAGAATGTTGGTTATTTATACAATATTTTGTTCATACTATCCAACAATAAAAAAGAATGCACTGATGACATATATAACAATATGAATAGTCTCAACTATGCTGAGTGACAGAAGAATTACATAAAACAATACCTTATATATTATTTCATTTCTATGACATTCTAGAACAGGCGAAAGTAATCTATGACGGAAAACAATCAGAACAGTGGTTGTTTCTTGAATATAGCAGAGGTCAAATGAAAAAGAGTATGAAAATTTTCTGAAGTGATAAATGTTCTATATCTTTTTTTAATTTTTATTTATACAGGGTCTCACTATGTAGTTCAGAATTGTAGTGCTCCCCTGTCTCAGCCTCTCCAGAGCTGGGATTACAGGCATACACCACTATGTCCAGTTTCAGGGTCAGAATGCCATACTCAGGGTTCCGGGGCCCATATGGCATGCAGTACCATGGATCACACTCGAGTCTTTGTGCTTGCCAGGCAGGCGCTTAGACTGCTGAGCTATCTCCCCAGCCCAATGTTCTATATCTTGATAAAGGTTTGGGTCACAGAGACATATGTGTGTGAAAACTCACCACATATATACTTGTGGTTTCTGCTTTTCTTTGTAAATTTTATTTCATCAGAAAACTGCAAACAAATATTGTGCTATACTTAATATGCATTATTTTAGAATTCAGGAATAGCGTCCTAGGAGTCATTCAAATCCAGTCAGTATTCTAGGCAATTGGGGTGTGTGTGTGTGTGTGTGTGTGTGTGTGAGAAGTTACAGAAGGATAGTTAGCTACATATTTTGTTGTTTAAAGACTATACCATTTTAGGTGTACCAGTAAATTGAGGAAAAATATTTTATTCTCATTATACCACCAAGCATAATACCAAATATATGTGGCTTCTCAGAACCTTTAAAAAGCATATACACATATATATATATAAACTAATAATGTTATTACCTTTTTGATAGTCTCAAAAAACTAATAACATTATTAGTTCATACATATACTTTTGAGACATGATTTATATACATCAAATTCACTCTATTAGCATATTCTCATGGTGCACAATTATCCCCATCTAACTCCAGAACATTTTCCTCATCCCAGAAGCACACCTGAGGTTTCTTCATTTCTCCTTAGTCGCTGGCACCTACTAATCTAACTTCTGCCTCTATGAGTTTCCAGCTCTGGACATTTCACATGTACTAGATGACGGTCCCTTGTTTCTGGCCTTTTTTATCTAGCATGTTTCCAAGGTTCTTCCATGATGGTATCTGTATGAGGACTGTATTCGTTTTTATGACTGAGCAATAACTTGATAACATTTTGCTGTATCTGTTTATTAGTTAATGGACATTTGGGTCCATTACTTTTTTTGCTTTTACGAGTAACACATCTATAAACCTGTATGCCAGTTGTATGAATATAGTTTAAATTTTCAATTCTTTGGGTATATACCTAGAAATAGAATTACTGGCTCATATGGTAACTCTGTAACTTTTGGGAGAGTAGCCAGTCTTTTTCCAAGAGGTTACAATATTTATTTATTTATTTTTGTGTAGCACTGGGGATTGAACTCAGGATCTTGTGCTTGGCAGGCAGGAGCTTATGCCAGGGAGCTATCTTCCCTGTCTAAGAGGTTGCAATATTTAACATCCCATCAGCAATGCATAAAGTTGCCAATTTCTCATGTCCCAATCAACTCTTGCTATTGTCCCTGTTTTATTTTTTATTTTATTTTATTTTTTATGCATTTAGTACAGGGTCTACAGGCTCACACTACACAGATCAGACTTGTAGTGATCCTCCTGTTTTCCCAAGTGCTGGGATTACAGATGCACGCCACCATGCCCTATCTCAATCACCATCTCAGCAAGCTCCAGGAGTGGGGCCCACAGGGCAGGCTGGGATCAAACTCTTGGCCCCTGCATCCGCCTAAGCAGGCACTTTAATCCACTGTCCTTTTTGAGGAGAGTCACTTTCATAGGTGTGAATTATCTCAGTCAGGAACTGATTTTCATTTTTCTGATGACCAGTGATGTTGAACATCTTTTCATGCACTTATTTGCCATCTATGTATCTCTTTGGAGAAATATCTGTTCATTTTCTTTGCCCTACTTTTTTTTTTTTTTTTTCTGGATTTTGTGGTACTGGAGATTGAACCCAAAGCTTTCGCATTGAGCTATATCCCTACTACATCCCCCTTTTTGATACAAGGTCTCTATAAATCACTAAGTTCCCTAGTCAGGCTGGGCTCCAACTTGCAATCCTCCTGCCTCTGCCTCCAAGTGCTTATCGGTACGTTCCACCATACCCAGCTTCTCTGGCCACTTTTAAAAGTTGGGTTGTCTTATATGAGTTATAAAGACCCTTACTATCCTGGATATCAGAATTTATCATATATATGACAATTATTTTCATATATATGTATATATACACACATATATACATATCGATACTTATTTTCTCTCATTCTGTGCAGTTTTTTCACCTTAATAGTATTCTTCCAAAGACTAAAGTTTTTGGTTGTTTTTTTTTTTTTTTTGAGACAGGGTCTTGCTTTGTAGCTTAGGATGGCCTTAAACTCACTATGTAGTCCAGGCTGTCCTCACCATGAATCATGGCACTCCTGCCGGAGCCTCCCAAATGCTGGGATTACAGGCATGTACCACCACGCCTGGTTTGAAGTTTTTAATTTTGATGATGTATGATTTATCTATTTTTCTTTGGTGTTTATATTCATGGTGTTTCATTTAAGAAAAAAAAAGGATGATTTACACCTATGTTTTCTTCTAACATTATGATTTTAGCTCTTACAATTAAGTAATTTGATCTATTCTAAATTAATTCCCATTTCTCTTTGAAGATGAAAATTCACTACAAAGACAAAAAGTAAATTAAATAGAAATGCCAGTCCAAAATACCTCTAAAAGGGGGCTGGTGGGATGGCTCGGTGGTCTAGAGCAGCTACTTGGAGCAGGCTTGGCAGAGCACAGGGACTGAGGTTCAGTCCCCCCAGCACCACATGCCAGCCAGCCCCGCCCCCTGGTGGGCTGAGCTGGCCACACACACACACACACACACACACACACAAATAAATAA